GGTTATCAATTCGACTGTATGTCATTTTTTTGCATGTATGTTACGCGATAACTCCGGCCGAAACGAAACCGATTTTGATGATTCGTTTTTGTTGGAAAGAGGGTACCTCAGAAGTGGTGGTGGCCATTTAAATTTCAGTAAAATAGTCCACCACTAAGAGTGGCTTGGGGATGAATGACTTTTGAGGTCGGTTTTTTTAGTACTCTGTACTGATTGTTATATAGAAGCATATTGTCCCTTAAACAAATGTGACTATTAAACATCTTGTTAAACATAAAATAATTAAAGATCATATCAAAAAGTGACCTTAAAAATTTTTTAATTCATTTTTTAACCAAGTTTTATTGAAATCGATTAACGGAAAGTGGATGAAATCCAATTAACCTCTCATTACGTCTCAGGGTGACGGGCACAGTGGCAGTACCCCAAAGATCCTTGTGATTAAAAGCTCTGAGTCGCACTGCAACTGTTATGGACAGGCATGTCGCTTCCCACCAGGTGCACGACTTGTTCGTCCCGTCTTTTGGTATTATAGAAAAAACCGGATTCATCCCCTAAGTTACAAATCCTTAGAGGTGGAATATTTTTTTCAAATTTGAATGGGATCAGAACTGATGGAGGGAGTTCCCTTTCCAACAAGAGAAGACTCATCGAAATCGGTTCATAAATGTCGGAGTAATCGCCTAACATACATACGAAGACATACTGTCGGATTGAGAACCTCCTTCTTTCTTGAAGTCGGTTAAAAAAGCTAGCACATACAGTTGTATTCTTATGTTACAGCTTAATAGACGATAAATTGAAATCGGATCCACGAATAAAATAACTTGTCGAAAGAAATCAGCTTTGCAGTCTACGCGATGAAAAAGTATAAAGCCTTTCAGACTTCGTAATTCGTAACCGCGGTAATGATCTATACTAGCTAGATCCACAGTCTGATATACGGCATTTTATTTTGGAGAAATGTCGCCGACATTAACAGAATTTTTTCGCAGAAATGCGTTGTTATGGCAATTAGTTACACTGCGCCCAAGACTTTAACATATAAGTTAAAAAGAAATTAACATTTTTACTCTGAATAATAGTGATAAACATAAAAACGAACACGAGGAACATAAACAAACATATACTGGCTGCGGTTGACAGTCGTCTTCGCGAAGTCACAAATACGTTTTGCGACAATGCACCTATCTGCTTCTGTAATAAGAGTACAATGACATTCAACATTTGCCATTTACGAAGTTTAAAAGTATAGTGGAAAAAAAATTTTAAACAAAAATACATCTCACGCATAATAAATTGCATGACAGAAATATATGGTAGAATAGAAGGTTATGCTAATTTAGGGTGCTTCTTAGTATGATATTTTAAAAATATCCACTAACAAAAAGCAACCCCAACTAGAGTTTGTCACAAAATTCTCTGACGGAAATCTGACTTTCGCATGAGCAGTAGTGTGTAATCAATGTGTCTATTTCAATAGTAAATTGTTTTCCTTTGAAATAACTTTTTTTTATTTTTCGTTAAATTCGGCGATATATCTATTGATGTTAGATCCAGCCTCTTAAGGTCTGATGGCCTTCGTATTACCTAAAAGTGTCACACATAATCCGCATTAGGGTGATCGCAAACTCCGGATTAGTATGCAGATGAGGATATCAGTTGTCGGGACGTTATCGCTCTGTTCTAATTTATTACCGCTCGTTGAAGATTGCTGCAGAGGTACTATGGGAACCCAAACGTATTTTATTTCTAGATGGAAAAGGAAAAATAAAGTAATTAGTTAAACCTTAAATTAGTCCGAGTTCTATAGCAAAGTTCGTTATCTTAAATTGCAATTATAAGTGTATATTTTTTGTCAGTCCATATTAACTACCAGTCACATTTTCTTTAATTTGGCAAAGATGAAAATGGCGTGAAAAATTGCATTGTAAAGCTGGTTATATGTTGGCCAAGATATTGCTCAGTAGGTGAGTGAATGTTTAATCTTAAGCAAGGCCTGTGTGTAGAAGTAGACAGTATAAGTTGATAGCAATAAAAATATAGATTATTTTGTTTTGTATTTCAGTTAATAAAGTAAGCTGCTTGGCCGAACAATTACTATCCAGGTCTGCCACGCAGAGGTCCCGGGTTCGATTCCTGTGTCGGGAGAAATATGGATTGGCCTGCATTGTAATTTGTGATTGTCTATGTGCGTGTCCATGACACCCGCGATACAGGGTTTCTCTAGTGTGGGGCTATGAGTGTGTGCATTATTTATATTATTTATTTACGGAAATGCTTGTACTGACTGTACATGACAACTTTTATTATATTTTTTCCTCTCCACCTTCTTCTTATAAAAGATCCGCAGCAGAATTTAGTAAGCAACCTAAAAAACTTCACAAAACAATCTCTCTGCTCCGAGTCTAACCGGTGGAATAGAAGGCCAGTTAAAAATAAAACTCCGTTATAGAAGGGCCTTCGGAACAAATAAAGCCTGACTTAGTGGAAGCTGTCTCGTGAAGTATGCATTGCTATTTCGCCGCAAAATAGCTCCGGATAGAAAAGGAATTTCTGTTGCAGAAATATGTAATAAGGTAAGGTAAAGAGACGTCTTTCATTATTGTAAAACGCAAGTACAAATAGCATTGTAAATAATTATATCAAAATATATTATGTATGGTTCCATAATTTACACAACGTTCACTGTATTAATACATATCGATGTAAAACCTAATAAGTGTGTAAATTTTCCAACTCATTATTATAATGACTATTATAATAACCGAAATTTAAAGAATTTATAATAACCGATAAACAATTATTCGTTTCGTGCGTTTTACTGTGGTGACATATTTACAATTGTGGCTGAATATATTGAAATAGATACATTAAATAAATCACAAATCAATAATATACCTGTACGACAGGTGCCTACGACAACATACTTCAAAATTCAACCCGTCGAGGACTGTAAAAATTTATATCCAGCGCACAAGACATAATTACCTTACAGAGTTTATTTCATTCGTTACATAGTGAAGTTATGTATGAAAATAACAGCAGAGGAACAATAATAGACTACTAAAAATTATCACATAAAGGCGCCAAAAACAAGTGCAATTAATTTTCGAATGTGTAATAAAAGAGGCAAAATGAACAAATTTATAAATAAATAAGATTTGTGGCGGCTTTCCGCCACACGTCCGCTACACGACTTATCATTTAACTATTTTTGGAAGCAAAAATTTGATATGACCATTCTTTCCAATCCAGCATTTTGACACACAGATTGCTTCCAAATAATTTCAATCATTCAACAATTTACGTGAGAATCGATCGAGAACAACAATTAACACCGTATAAATATTTACACGACAACCCCAGCTGTCCCGCGATATTGCTATTGGGAGAACGGAAAGCTCGTTACTCGGCAATAATGGATGGTTAATTTATAAATGATTTTCTTCACTTGTTTTGTAAGATGTTGGCTTCCATATATTTAAAAAAACACTTAGTATTTGCAGAATGAGTTCCGTTCCAGTATGCTGTTTTTTGCACACACTCGTAATGGGACGTAATATGATACTAATATTAAACTTGATATATTAGACTTGCTAATGGGTTTTTGTTATTTTCTTATTTTTATCTCTAACTAGTGATTTAAATAGGGTTGAAAGTGCCTACGTCACGCCTCACAATGGAATGTATAGGTGTGTAGATCTATGTAAATATATGACATTATTCTCGTTAACGATGATAACACAATTATCCTGAAATAAAAATTTCGTATTTTGACGCTGAACCTAAATTATACGACAAAATAATATGAATAAACAAGAATAATAGAGCTCCTATACGACCTAGTGAGTATCAGGGCAGCAGTAAATAACAGGGGCTCATTATAATTTTCTATTTGCAGCGCCATTGTGCGAAGAGACCATTGTTAACGGCCTTTATACGCGCAATAGACCTAACTGCGGTGGAAAAGTGGACGGCAGAGACAATATAATGCTTGAAAATCAATACTTAATGAAAAAATCAATGGGACATGAAGGGAGTTCCCCTTCATGTCCGTTAAATGTTTATTAAAATAGGGAGCTTTACTTGAAGGAAACATTCTTTTATTTTTCTTAACATGGTATAACTGCATTCATAGATTTTTTTAAAGCTTAGGTATCTGTGCCAGGAATCGAATCAATTAAAAAGATAAAAACACTCATTATTTTATTGTACTAACCGGTATAATCAATGATAAGGATAAAGTCTCTCCAATAAACAGTGGATCTTACGCTTGAAGACGTCCATGAGATCTAATACATAACACTAATAAAATTTAATGGACGTCTTCAGTTGCATTTTAAGGTAGTTCCCATTCATGTCCCATTGATTTTTTCTACTCTGTGTAATAAAGCCAATAATCGCATTCACTCCTCCATCGTCGACTCATCTTGACTACACAGCATAGATTTTGATTAATTGATTAATAAGATCGACTTTACAATAAAAACAACAATCAAACTTAATTTGTAGTATAGAGCTCGTAAGTATTGAACCAGCAAACTTGAAATCCGCTCTAAAAGCTATTGTAAGTAATTCACATAGTGAACAACCACTTTAAATACATTTGCGTCACGCACCGCGAGATGGCATTGACTTAATATTTTTAAATAATAAATATTCCCTACAAAAGAAACGCGAAAACAATGATGACGTTTAGTATAACGTAGAACATACCTAAGAACGTTTCTTTATTTAGAACTGTACGTTAGCTCGATCGATTAGCCTACTACATTAGATCGATTAGCCTATTACTTAGGATGTGGTACAAAAGACGGTATTTTGTTACAGCTAGTTGTTTATTTAACACCGTAGAGCAAAGGAAGTTCGCTTTCTCTCTGTTACTCAAAGCACATTCCACTATTATTATTTTACCTACAAAGTAAAAACCAAATATTTTCAAGTCATCTCCATTGCTTATTTATAATGTAACTGAATTAGCGAATGTAATTACTTACCCGGCAAAAACTGGTCATTGGCGTTATCTGTAACACAGAAAAATACATTATAAAGTTTGTATTTATAACAAAGAGCAAACTGGTTATGGAGTCTTAGTGACATTTGGTTCTTAGAGTTAGCCAGGGGAGTACCTTGGTTCCTACACAATTTCTGATCATGATAATGTCTTGCCTACAGTAGTTCAGTATTGAAAATGCCTACTGTTTGCAGATGATGTTAAGCTCAAAGACCTGAGGATAGCATTAAGTTGCAAAACGACGTCACTGCAGTAGAGGGGTGGGGACGGACAAACCGATTTCCTTTCGATTTATCCAACTGCAAAGTCGTTACTATTGCGAGAATATCAATTTACGCTCGTACTTATAGCATAGGCGGCGATAGTGCGATTGATAGAGTGGAGGTGATCAGGGATCTCGGTTTGACTTTGAATTCACGGTTTACTTTCAAAGATCATATTACAGCAATTTGCAAAAAGCAAATCCAACACTGGGATATATTATGGGAATAGGTTATCGTTTCACCGATTCCAATATAGCATTGATGCTCTACAACGCATACATTCGCAGCGTATTGGAATTCGGAGCGGTAGTGTGGGACCTTCGCTAAATCACATAATATATGGCAACATGATAGAAAAGGTGCAGAAAAATTTTGCAAGATTTGCCTACAAAAAGATGTACAACGTTTACACGTATCTCTTCCCTTCTATGTTTGTGTACGAAATGAATGAATTGGGCAGCTTATTACTGAGGCGTAAACTAATGCTCATAATGCACTATCATGCTGTTTTCAATGGTAGGGTAGACAACTTGACAGTGGTGTCTCGTACGGGCTTATTTGTCACGGAGCGATATTTGTGGTCTACTGCAGATGCGCGTGCGTCTCTTGTTCGCGGCGCTTCGCTCGCGCACCTGCAGTGGCGCATATGCGTCTAAAGTTCGACTTCTTTGCTCAACCAATTGCTCACAAAACAGTCACGTACCGACATATTCCATGACCGTTCAGACGAATTCTTAAACATGTGTTGTTCTGTTCCTCAATGGAATTTTAAAAATCCAAGGCATAGTACCTATTTTCGCTTCCGGTGTAAACTTATATTGAAAATTAATTAATAAATATAAATAGCGTATAAACAATGCCTACTGCGTGGGTAGAACACTTGTCAAGTAACTAGACATTGGGACGGCCAGTCAATGGCACCCCTAATTGGTTACTTACTAGACATCGACATTTCATTGTTCGTTCAACGATTTAAAAATAATTGAAAAACGCTTTACAATGTTATCCTTTATTAGGCAACAAGAGACTTTTCATGTACTGTCCAGATACAAATAGCAATTGTATTTTGGAGAGGTAAAGTCCCAAATAGATTGGACCCTCTTCAAGGAGACAGCTGTAGTGTGAAACAAAGCTCGAAGGAAAAGACGATTGCCACCAACAATAAGGCATTTGCATATACATAGTATTCAGTATATCACGTACTAACTGTGGGTTTGTTTCCGAGCGCGATACATCGCGTCTATTTCGAAGTACGTAATATTAGTTCACACGCTTTCATAGCTGTCTGTTCTACGCAACTCTATTCTTCTGCCTTTTTTGAGGATATTATACAAAGAAATAAGATCGAATGAAGAGGCAGAAGAAGGCGTCGACGCAGTTAGATCAATCAAATAAGGGAAAAGTTATTGTTGTATCGTTACAGGTACAACATCGGTACGAAATCCGAAGATATATTCCATAAATTGCATGTCTTTTAAAAGCATTACAACGATCAATTTGTCTAATTGAATATACCGCCTTTTATGGCTTTAAATTAAACCTATTAAATAAATTTGTACTTAAATGTTTATTGCGCGCTCTGATTGGTAGACGTCATTACCTTTACGTCATAGCGTTACACAGTCCTAAATAAATTTTAACAAGAAATTTTTGAAAGGAATTTGACTTGAGAAAGTACAGCTGGATTAAATAGCACTGGTCCCAGTGATGCCATTTGAGAAAGGCCTGTGACTAGTAGTGGACTGCGCTATGTTTACGGTCGTGATGTCGAAATGAAAAATTCTTCTATTGATTTTGACTTGCTAGAAAGTGTGACGGTTCAAGAGTTTTTAAATGAAAAAAAAACTGTATACATCATATTAAAATGTAATGTAATTTAAAAACTGCCTCCGTGACCGAATGGTTACCATGCTGGACTGCCACGCAGAGGTCTCGGGTTTGATTTCCGGGCGGGGAGATATGTTTGTATGGCCTACGTCTATTTCTTTTGTGAGTTTGGGTATAATTTGTGCTTGTCTGTGTGTGTGTGTCCATGGCACCCGCAATACAGGGTTTCCCCAGTGCAGGGCTCTGAGTGTGTAAAAAAAAGAAAAAAATTGCCAATCAGGCTAAAGTAACCATTTCAAAACAATAAGACGGTCTTATTATATGAATGTGGAAGACTCAAATAAGGGAATTCCCAGTACTATGAGTACCAGAGTAATTCAGTCCGGGACACTGCCTAGAGTACTGGGACCAGAAACAATTTAAAAAAGTTAATTTCCCAAAGATCTCCATCCAGCATCCAGTGCCCACAGTCCAAACCGTTAAACCAACAAAGTATTCAATTATTGCATACAAAATAAACTCGAAACTATCTTGATATTGTTATGGAGCCCTGTCCTGGGGTGTCTGACAGACTCTTGGCCGATGTATAACTTTTGAAATGAACTGATTACGTAAATAATGCACGAATCAAAATAGATATTTGCGTCGAGCAGTTGGGGAGTGAGCTTTAAAAATACCATTATAGGTGACAACAAAGGGCGCGATAACAAAGCAACTAATTAGTTTCGAGCGCGGCTAATCCGCAACATGAAAGCGCACGAAATTACATTCTGTTCAACACGCTGCCTTCGCAGGGCGATGGAACATTTTCAAACAATTCCATATTTAGGTGCCACCAGTGGCGGATTCGCAGTCCTGGCCGCCCTTGGCCCCAGGCCATGTAGTCTGTTCCAGCCGTCCCTTTCCCAGCACTCGTCATATATCGGTAGACTACATAATGAATTTAATTTATTGCCAACTTTTATCGAAATCGACTCAGAAATTTAATATTAACATTTTTAATAATTTGATATTATATCAAATGAATGTGTATATATATATGTATATATATATATATATATATATATATATATATATATATATATGAAATATATGGTGGAAACCGCATGAAAATCCAGTCAGTAGTTTTTAAGTTTATCGCGATCAGACAGACAGACAGACGCGGTAGTGATAATGTGTAGTTATGTAGTGATTATACTTTACATTGTAGATAATAATAATAACGCAACACACTCATAGCCCCGCACTAGGGAAACCCTGTATCACGGGTGCCATGGACACACACATACACAACCACAAATGACACCCAAACTCGCGAGAGAAATAAATGTAGGCCATACACATACTTCTCCCGACCTGGGAATCGAACCCAGGACCTCTGCGTGGCAGTCCGGTATGGTAAACGTTCGGCCACGGAGGCAGTTTATGTAACATATCTATATTTTATACATAAAATGAAAAAAATGTAGGAAGATGATGTTTAAGATGATTAAGATTAAGATTCCTTGTTTAAGATTATTGTTAAACGGCACTCAATAATGTGCGTGAGCCTTTACAATATATAGGTACTTTGAGTTTTTTGTCACGATTGGCCGGCTTAGGCCCGGGCCTACTGGGCCTTAGGGCAAATCCGCCACTGGTTGCCGTCCCTTATTATGTAAGTATAGGTAATGTGAACGCTGAACAAATGTTCAATTTACATTCGTAACACTATTTCGTCTGTTACATTATACAAATCTCTTCTAAGGTGAGGGATTAGGCTGGCCCAATATGCATTAAGAGACTTCGCACATTTCCCAAGGGTTGTGAACCTTCTTAGACCTCCAGGTTTTATCATGATGGTTTCCAACCCCGTTTTCTACATAGTGCATAACTGTTATACACTGAGGAGAAAATAAACCGCCACCATGTACAGTCAACTACACATTTTTGTTCGTATTCAGAGCAACTTGATATGCCGTCCGTACATAGGTATTTCTTAGATTGGAAGTTAGCGAACCTATTTCAGTACTCAACTTTGGACTCCATTTTAATAAAACTACAACATTTTTCATTCTACAGATACCTAGAAATCTCAAAGAAGGATAGCGAAAGCTGACCCAAAATCAACGAAGACCCGTTCATAGACTTTGCCAGTATAATTATAAATGAAGCGAAATGTCATAAACATAACCGATGTCATGTTTATAACCCCAGCTTCTACAGGATGTACTCAAATAGCTTCTTGAATGCTTTGATAATGAATCACACGTATTGATAGGTCTCTTTAATGCATCTCGTCAAACAGACTGGGTCACGAAACACACGGGATGTCGCCATCCTTCTTTCCTAGATATCTCAAGACAGCTGTGAACAATAAATTTGTGCAACTATATCAAATTACAAGCAATAGTAGTTGCTAAAAAAACCATAAACAATTTCAGTCATGTCAGGTTCGGATCCCCAATAAGTATGCCACTGTGCTTATCGTTGTGGCTGCCTTTGTGGTATTCAGCGTTTTAACACTGTGAGGTTCTGACTTTAAATTTTAAAAAAAGACTTCATGTGCTGCTGTTTTTAACCGACTTCAAAAAGGAGGAGGTTATCAATTTCTCATAAAAGTCTTTGCGACTTAAAGCATTAAGTGGCACTACAACTGTTATGAGTAGACATAGCACTTACCACCAGACGCACGACGTCTTCGACTCTTCATTCGATATCATAAAAAATTTTGAAAGTGGAAGTATGTATAATTTGAAACGTGGCCGAACAAATGTGTCTAAAGAAAAAACATTCACGGAAAACATTAACTTCAAAGCGCTAATGATAAATAACTGCTTGATTTGAGGTATCCCCACCTCGCCTGCCGCACCACCCACTACACGCGAAGTGGTAATATTTGTTAGATAGCATCGATTGTTCCGAAAACTCGTAGCACTAACACACGGACAGAGTCGTGTCATTGTCGGACCGAAGGCGTCGCTAATAGAGGCCAATAATGGCAGGGTTTCCTGGTAATATTGATTTAAATACGGTACACAATTGAACTGTGTACCGTATTTACTCGGAAATAGACTCTACTATTCATTAAGTGCCATTTCAAGTCAATATGTTCTCGTGTTGTAATATTTCCTTGTTTACGTATAAACAACCAATACCACTATTTTAACATGTCGGCACAATATGTTTATTTTGTTTCTATGAACATAAACTATTTCCTCACCTCCTGAATCTTCCTATGCACTACGAGCTTATGCCACTGGTGGTCGTCAAACCTCGTGCGAGCAGGCTTTATGTGCATCTCCTGCTTGCCGTTGCCCAACCCCATCGTTAAAGACACGCCGCCATCCCGCACCGCAAGGTTCAGGTAATCCGCTTCGTGGCCTGGATACAGAGATAGATAAAGAAATACAGATACCACTTCAATTCGCAAATAATACAGTTAGACCTCAGATTGCAGATGCATTATCTTTGTAAATCACTAAACGAATATAACCTATTCGATGACTTGTGACAGCGTAAAGTTGATTACGGTTCAATATGTACAATTGTGTACCGAAGGCAATGGATGTGATGTCAAAGGCTTTTCATTTATAATGACAAAAACAAAATACCAATGATGAATGATGATTTATAGATCCAGGACCATATCCATACTTTGCGGAAATGTTTATTATTAAAAATGGATTTAAGTTACCTTGTTACTCCGCGAACACAATGGAGGTTAAATCGTGCAAAACATTCATAAATATTATAAAATTCTTGCAATTTTCCCTCCACGTAACATTAATAAAATAAATAACATTATCACAACCACAACCTCCACTCTTGACACTTATGCATGCCACTTTACAAGGCATCAGCTCTCGGCCTAACAAAGTAACTTACTTCCGTTGTTTTTAAAACAAAAATGGGTTCTTATGAGATCATATAGAACCTCGTACACATTTAAAGTATTTGATTATATGAGAATTGTGCCTTAAGAGTGAGACGATTCTATTTGAGTTCATATTCCAAACAATATCGTGTAACATCTCGTCAATGTCTTCGCTCATACCCCTGTCGTTACTATTTGCTGTCGCGAATTGTTCGTCAGGCTCACCAGTGTAAAACAATAAGCCGTTGGGCTGTCTAGTCTTGAAATACAACGAGATGGTGTCTTGCGTGCTGACGATCGGCTCCCCGCCGGTCTGTGTGAGGTCGTACGAGAGAAACTCCGCGCCGCGGAACGTCGCTTCTGACGGCGCTTTGTCTACAACAAGAGAAACATTTTACAATAAAATTGTATGATTATACTTTTAATTACCTCCCCAAGGCACATACAAGTAAACACATGAGTGTTATACCTACGAAGTACCAAATGGATAGCTTAGATTAACTAACATATGTCGAATTATTAGAGGTCTCTTTGACCTTTTGAGTTTGACCCTTTAAGCTTAATCATTTCTGTCACCGATTACCGACGCTACTCCTCTGTTGCCTAGCTTAAATAGTACAGTCACCAAAATTGTCCTTCATTCAATGAGCTCGTCGTGATCGCGATTGTCGTCTCTCTCCATTTTCAACTGCGTCTATCGGCAACATTATCTGATACGAATGCTTGGATCAAAGTTTTTGACAATGACCAAACGTTGTTGTTCAAAAAGACGACTTATGGAAGACTAATACCAAAAATTATAATCTTTTCTTAGATAATAAATTAAGCAAAGACTGACCACCAAGAAGACTACATTTTAATTTATATTAAAGAGGCGAGCCTTGTTTCATTGATGATGTCAGAATAGCTTTTAACATGGAAGAAATATTCTTAACCTATCCCTAATTCTCCAAGAAATGTAATATACAATGCAACGCAAGGAGTAAGCCGTGGCTTATTTAATGGAGTTGCCCCGCCATGGCTAAGTGCGCTCTGGTCGACGACTAAGCGGCCCTAGCCCCGGCTGAGCGCGCCCCGGGGCCCCGTTGTGCTAATGCGACGGCCCTCGCGATGGCTCAACACCGCTCGAGTCATTTTCCTTAACTAATAAAAACTACTAAGGAAAACTTCTCCATGATTTTATGTGATATATAAAATATACACTATGGTAGAGTTATATGAAAAAAAAAACATACGCTACTTCATATTTGTATCCCGAAACTTTCAACTTGTAGGGCTATTCAAGGCTGCAGTGAATAGGCATTGTTTAGACAAACGTGTATCATCGTCGGCATCGGTTACATCATCGTTTAACATCAGGTGAAATTGTGGCCAAGTGTGTGGGTCTATTCGTTTTTAGCATAAATGATAGTATTTAATTTTTATTGCTCAACAGTATATTGCTTTTTTCTTTTAAGATTATTGACTTACTTAAGACTACTCAGAGAGGGTGAGGGCCTGGTGAGCACGTGACACACGTTTAGTTGCCTAGTACGGTCTCCAGTCTCTCACAAGGGATACAACTTTTAAAATTGTTAGTCTATTATAAAATAAGTGTATATTTATTTCCTTGTGTTGAGAAAATAAACTATTGTTATTATTATATTATTATTATCCATAAAAAAGTTATGAATATACCAAGACATCGTACCACACTAAACTCAAACATCATTGAAACTACATCGTTTTTAAACATTTTAAATATTAAAAGTCAATTTTTTCTCGATTAGCTACAAATTATAGTTCAATAATTTTGTTGGCAAGCTATCGTGGACTCGTGCAGCTTTAATCGTTGTAGTTGGCAACACCTGCGGCGGGAAATTGATTAATCGCACAACTTTCTCCAACTTTTCTAGGTTTCCCCCTTCTTACCCCGACTTCCCCCGCTATACTCAACTTGTGCCAAGTTTTTTACTTTTTTTAAATATTTTAACACTAAATAAGCTCCGCTTCGGTTGAGTTTATATTAAATTTTAATCTAGTTTAGACTTGTTAAGGTTATTAGTTTTTAACTAGCGCGCGGTTTCAGTTAAGACAGATTTTGCTAACCACGTATGGTAATGTTGTAAAGGTCGGTAACTTTGCTATACACATTAATTTAGTGCTATTGCTGCTAAGGCTCTCTGCACACTTGCGCCAGATCTGACACGAAGTGTGATTTATTTGCATGAGACCCGACGCTCTGTATACTAGTATGTCATAAGTATCCAGCATATTTTAAAAAGCAAGTGGGACATTTTATTCTGACTCCGACCCCACCACCTGTGCACGGGTCGACCAATTCCTCAATTAGATAGATGGACAGACTTTTTTATTTTATTTTTTCTTCTAGATCTAGCTAATACCAATTACGAAGCACAGAACTGAACATTTACCATGAAAATGTAAAAATTTGTTGTTGTACCACTTATCGTGGTCCACACATGTTCATTCAATATTCATAACAACGACAGACAATCACAACTCCATTTATACAGGTCCATTAAATATCATTTCACTCTAATCTCAGCTCCATCGCTTGATAACGAGCACCAATGCTCCTTAATTGAAATTGTCATTGATTTTATTTCAATTAAGATCGAGACCCGATGAAATGCGCCCGCAGGCCAAGCCAGGCACTACGCCACCGTAGAACGATGGATCTTCGGTGGCGTAGTATTTTATGCAATACCTCCGTATTGCAAACGTGACTCATGGTTCGGGTTGCAAGTTCCCTTTTATTAACTTCTCTCGAAGGGTTTGTGTGCACACTGTTTTTCTACAACTCTATAATTTTATTTACTGACGATGCATTCATATATTTGTTGAATAAAATTTGATTTTACTGTAGCAAAATGGATTTGTTCTTTTAAATCTGCAAATAGTTTTTTTTTATTGCTATACAGAAGTTATAAGAAGTGTTTTCTTTATATTTTCAAACGTTGTATATGCTTGTGGCGTTCCTTATCGCTATGGACTTTTATAGTAAAAAAATTTGCTTTGTTTGCGAAAACTGTGCTTTCAACTTCTTCATTGAGCCAAAAGTACCTCTACTCGAAAATAGCTAATAAAAGTCCAACCAAAATCCTCCATTACTCCCTGTCTTTGGCGATCTCCCACCATTCTCTCTCAAACCCATCAAGGTCGTCCCGCCGACGCTTTCTCGGCCGTCCACGCCGTCTCTTTCCATCCTTGGGCACCCAAGGAGTGACGACGTTCGCCCACTTCACAGGTTGCATCCGGCTAACGTGGCCCGCTCAATCACAGTTGAGCTTGGCTGTTTTGCTCCCCATATCAGCAATGCCAGTCATCGAACGCAGCATTGTATTGCGTACTCGATCAATCGTTTGAAGCCCAGAATGATGCGTTCCTTCGCCCTCTGCAGATCTTGAGTTTAGATTTCTGGAACTCATCGGGCACAATGCACATATCGGTGAGTTGGCGTTTAAATGACATAGGGAGATTACTCTTGACGTACTCCTTCAAGGACCAGTAGCTCTTCCAGGCGTTCTCTACGCGACGATCGATTTCTTTATCTTGCCTGTTTTCAAAGCTTGCTAACTGGCCCAGACAGATATACTCATCGACATACTGGATTACCTGCCCGTCTACCTCAACCCTGCTTTTCGTACTGTTAGACATTATTTGTGTTTTGGAAGGGTTTATCTGGAGTGCAACCTCAAGACCCGCCGTGCTCAGTTCTTGGAGCATCTGTTAAAGTTCCTGTGACGTCGGGGTAAAAACAAGTATGGCATCCGCAAAGCGTAAATTCGTTTGGCGTTTGCCACCGACGAACTGATGAACTTAAAAGTCCTTAAATTTCTACAATTGCTCGAAACAAACACAAATCGTGGTCTTTGTTGGAAAGTAAATCAAAGTCCGAACAAACCTTTAATCTTGGGCAAACCTAATTAGAGAGACAACGCGATTGTATACCCAAATCAAGTTAACAGAGATTAATATCATAGTTGTCTTCTACTTGACGATCGTCACGGTAAAAACGACTTTGTTGACTAACGTACAGTGTTCAGTTGCTAAACCCGTGAAACCAGTCTAAAATGATCAGTTGTTCGGTGTCCTTTAAGCATTCGTTGAATGGCGAACTGAATGAATTTAATTGTTGTTCACAGTTGCATAAGGACTCTAAGAAACGACTCGTAAACACGCTTCGTAAGTTGCAGAAGTTCTTTTCTGCAATCTCATAATGACACAGATTAGAGCTTCTTAAACCATTGGAAGGTAATGTTGCCACAATGACGTCGATGCGGCAATTTTAAAGGAAAATCATCCGCTTTAATAAGCTGATTGTAACGTCTCAAGTCTTTTACTTCTGTTAATAAATCCCAAAGTTCACGAGATTGTGGAACCGAATTAAGAGAATAAGCCTTGGAAGTTTGTAAGTGGACAAGAAACGGGACAGGACGTGAATTACGATAAGAGTAAGAGGAACGCTAAGTACTTTGAGAGAGCTCTGATATATTAAGACCGTCATTTTCTGTCTCTACCCGAGCCTTAGAATAACGGGTAAAATATAATGCAATTAAACAAACGTTCACAGAGATTATAATTTCACTACATGTGTACATTATATTTATTTTATGATAGCAAGTGACGGGATGATCAATCGTGCACCTGATGGTACGCGACGCGCCTGTCCATAGCAGTTGCAGTGCTACGCAGAGCTTAAATCGCAAAGATTTGAGGGGTACTGCCACTGCACCCGACACCCTGAGATATAAATTGACAAGTCCCAAGTGCCTGTAATTTCTCCAGCACCCTTACCCTTGAAAAACCGAACACAGCAATACTGACATTACCGCTTGACGGCAGAAATAGGTGAGGCAGTACTTTCCCGAACGAACTCTTTCCACAAGGAGCTCTACCTCTTCTAAAAAAAATATAATTATTAGTGGCGACTGTATCTGATGTTGTAGTCTTGCAGACGCGAAGACCCTAATCAACTCAACTTTTCAAATAATCGACACAAAATCAAAACAAAAATTAGTCCAAAATCTGCGAATGATAAATTTAGGCCTATTGAGCGCCGTTATATATATGGAACACAAGGAGTCATTTCTTACGACAATTTCTTATAAATTGAAATGAGAATGGAAAAAACTAACTAGATACGGATCTCTATTACTATTTTTTTCACACAAATCAACGTTTCGGATCCTTTACAGGTCCCATGGTTACGGCTAACCCATTTAACTCGGATGAATCAGTCGTGACCATACGCTCTGTAAAACGTTGAAGAATGATTGAAAAAAATAGTTTCATTTCCAATATGTACCGTACCTATTTCTGCCACCAAGCAGTAACGTCAGCATTCTGTGTTCCGGTTTTGAAGGGTAAGG